AAATATGTGTAAAAATATGTTAAAAAGTAGTATAATTATTTTTCAAGTCATTGAAGTGGTATTAGATTGACAGTTGACAGTCAAGTGGCCTGTGGTTCAACATGTTCTGTCAATGCACCCACAGTGACCAAGAGCGGAGAGAAAGGCTTGATTTTTTCAAGATTTTGAATCCTCATTTTATATGCTTGCTGATTTTTTTTTTTACTCATTCAAATCCAAGCACAGGGAGAACCTGAGAACATGAAAATAGGAAGGCTGCTGCTACCATGACTTAAAGCAGTGTTTTTCAACCCGTGTGTGCCGCGGGAAAATATCCAATTTGTATACCTGTGTGGTCTTTCGCCCAGAAAGTAATCATGTAGTACGCTCCCATACCGCTAGGGAGCAGCAACAGCTAGCCAATTGCCTTGTGTTTCGCCGAGAGACAAGCGGGTTTGTGACGCATGAATACAGGACGACGGTGAAACAATAAATATGAAAGATAATAAAATACTGTTTTCTTTGTGTTCATTTGATTCCAATTCAAGCTGTTTTGACGTCATTCTTCAATGTTAAAACGGTTATAGTAACAATATAACATGTTAATTGTTAAAATAAGGGGGGGGGGTGTTCACGTTTTCAGCTAGTGGTGTGCCGCGAATTTTTTTTCAATGAAAGAAGTGTGTCTTGGCTCAAAAAAGTTTGAAAAACACTGACTTAAAGAACCCAGAAATCAGACCTGTAAGGAGGCATGCTACACCACTAGTCCAATGTAGTCATTTTTCAAATCCTTATCGTTTGATGGGGTTACAATTATGCATTTGTATTCTGTGTGTGTGTGCGTGCATCTCAATCATAAGGGTCCAATGAACGATTAAATGAAAGTTACGAATGAAAAATACAACTCTGTTGCATTATGGGATAATTGGAGGACACGTATTCTTACAATGCTTTTATTTTGAAAAGCACACCAGCGGAAGTGGCCAAGGGTGTTTTGTTGACATGACCGTGGCACGTTGTCAATGAAGCTCTTCACGACAAGCTATTTGTCACTAGCTCATATTTTTCCTAAAAGCTGTTTATTCTTAGCTACCTGAATAGGGTCGCCCGTCTTGACTTGAACGCACAGCCGGAAACGTTCTCTATGGCTTTTGTTCACGGCGCAAACCCACATAGCTGACCGAGCCACCATTTTTTTTCCACCCTGAAAGTAATAGTTAGTTTTTGTTTGGAAATGAGAACAGCGTTATTGGTGTTAGTTGTCGTGGTGTGTTCTCGCTGCTGTTCATTGGTCAGTGGAACACTCTCGAAAACTGATTTGAAGAGAGCTCAGAAAGCTGAGCGTGAAAATGAGGTGAGCGACACGCTTACTTTGATATTACATTCCTACATCGCCGACGTAAGCCGAATGTATACGAACTAACATTTGCTATCTTAGTGCAGTCATCGTGCAATTTCTATGAAATGTACTTCGAAGCCATAAAATAACACATGAATGACGGCAGTGAGTACGTTTTCTTCCGCCAGACCACGTACGTAACCCCAAGTGTCATATGTCGGGACCCTCGTTAGCCCAGACTGGCTTTCTTTGAATTCACGTCGGATACATATATATATATATATTTTGTCTGTGGAATTTATCCCCAGCCAACATTGCACGGGTCTCTATCACAATGACGATATTTTTTGGATATATTATGCAGCCCTAGTTTTAATTCCTCTCAAAAGAGTACGGTATATTGAAATGATACATCATTTACGTATGTCAGGGACCTGTGCATGTACACTCATAAACCTGCAAAATGAAATACAGTATGTAAGCCATTTGTTTTTAAGAGTAATATTACATAATGAGTGTTAAATGAAATTAAAACTTTTTATATTTGCTGTTGTAACTATTCATGTAGGCGTGAAATTTTTTTGGGAGGACGCCAGTTAGTCATGTTTTTTTTTTTTTTTTAAATAAACCATTTGCGGAAAGGCGCACTTTTGACGGTACTGTATCATCATTGTGTGTTGGTGCCCAGGCATCCCCAGCATCAGAGTCGGTGTTGGAGAGAGGACTGGTGGCGAAAGCAGTTAACTGGAAGGATGTTGTGAGGGAGGAGAAGAGATATTGGGCTCAGATCCAGAGGACTTTTAAAGGAGAAGTACTTGGTTATGTTACACCTGTAAGTTTCAATTCCTCCACCGGTTTACTGTTGGTGAATAACACACGCATTTGTATTGTTGGGTTTTTTTTTCATTTCAATCGTGTATCTAATTAACAAATTTGTGTTTGTAGTATGCAACACTGCATACTTCGAGGTAATTTGCAATGCATTTAGTGCATGAAAGTCAAAACATAACAAATAGCTCTTGTATAATCCTGTGGAACTGGAAAAAAAAATAATACACATATTGTTAATCAACCCGACAAGTCAAAATAAATGTCTCTTCTAAATTGGACACAGAGAAGAAAGTTGTTGACATGTCCGCTGAATAGGCTGAAACCACGTCCCGCTTAACTCTCAACTATTAATCAAATACCAGTGCTGCTTCAAATCTCAGTTCCAGGCTTCCTGTATGGAGTTAAGGCGACTTGATTCCCATGGGGAAAAAAATAGCAAAATACAGCAGCCATTGCCGCACCTAAAAGGTGTTCCACTCCGTTTATTTTCACTAGTGGAATTCCCACGGGTATGACATTGCCAAGCTGTTTGGCCCCAAACTGACATCAGTGTCTCCGGTGTGGCTTCAACTTCGCCGGCGAGGGCGTGAGCGCTTTGAGGTCACGGGGCTTCACGACCATGACACAGGTGCACTGCTTACTTGATCTTTTGTTTTAAAGTCATTCAGAGTCCATTAAGTGTTTGTGTCTTTTCCAGGCTGGGTCAAAGCGGTGCGCAACTCTAACAAAAAAGTGAAAATCGGTAAGCATACGAAGGCCTCGTGTAATTTTCCAGCTTTTGACTCGGGATTGTTTGTGGTCAGTGCCGAGGCTACTGTTTGACGGCTGGTCCTATCAGGACTACATGAGCGTGCTGGCCAGCGAAGATGAGATTGAGGAGCTGGGAATTGAGCTGGTAAAGGTTGCAAAGGTAAACTAGCGCTTGAGTTCACTGCTCGGAACTTCTTTTCAATTGACAAGCGACCCAATTCTTTTGTCCATATGGTGTATTTACACATCTCTTTCGTTTGTTTGGTACCACAGTCGGAGGGATTTGACGGTTTCACTTTGGAGCTGTGGAGCCAGCTGGGAGGCAACAAAAGAAAGTGAGTTTTTTTTTTTCTCAGTGGTCAATCATCTGCAAGGACTTTTGAACTTGAAATAGCACCAAACCTGCCCCTGACCTGACCGAGGATGAAACACTGTACATGTGCGTCCAACAGGGAACTGGTGCACTTGGTAACACACACGTGTGAGTCATTGAAGGCTAACCTATTCGATTGCATCCTCGTCATTCCTCCTGCCGTGACGAGGTGAGTGAAGCCGGTAAGATGAGTTAACCATGTCAGTGGTGACGATGTTTACCTTGTTTACCTTGTGTGAAATTTATCTCCTGATCAGTACTGGGCAGCATGGCATGTTTGGCAGGGAGGAGTTTGAGCAACTGGCTCCAATGGTGGACGGCTTCAGCCTCATGACGTACGACTACTCCAGTGGTGCCAAGTAAGGGCAAATATACAGCCGCCACTGCTTAAAAATAATGTTCAATGTAAAAAAAAAAAAACAAAACAAAACATTTGGGCATGGTGGGTTGCAAGATCATCAAACCAAAAACCACAATTGCACATACATTAATTTTAAAGTTGTTTCTATGAGGTGATGTGTGTAGTAATTTGAGAGAGGGGAAACCCATTTTGGAATAACAGTAACATCACAAAATGTGGAAAAGTGAAGCACTGTGGCTGCTTTCCAGCTGCACAGTAAACTGGCGTCAATGTTCAGGGGCACGTCCTTGCACCTGCAGTACTTTATGAACAAACTTGTGAAAATGAGACTACCTCATTGTTGTCAGACCGGGCCCGAGTTCCCCCGTGTCCTGGGTGAATGACTGCGTCCTCCAGCTGGCCCCCAAGAAAGAATGGAGATCCAAAATTCTGCTTGGGCTCAATTTGTACGGCCTCGACTTTTCAAATGAGCAAACCGAACCCATCCTTGGGAGAAGGTGAGCATTCTGATTAGGCCCTACTCTTACGCATGACTGATATTTTTGTGGAATCAAGCGTCACGGTTCAGTGTGTGACCTCTGGCAGGTACATCGAAATTTTGCGGGAACATAAGCCAAAAATCCTCTGGGATGACTATAATGCGGAGCATTACTTCACCTACAAGAGGTAAAAATGTCCTTTTGTTTCCTCATCATTGACTACCTACATGGCGGTCGCAACTGATACACCATCGCTTTATTTCAGGAGCAACGGAGTGAAATGTGTGGTGTACTACCCATCATTGAAGGTACAACTTTATTTAAATGCACTGCACAATGGTTTAAAAAAACATGTTCTGAATGATCAATGACGTTTTAAATGATGAATAATGTCATTACAAATCATGTTCATGGTTATAAGTTGAAATGAATGTTCTTTGACTTTCCAGTCAGTGCACATGAGGATTGCTGTGGCGGAAAAACTGGGGACTGGCATCTCCTTATGGGAACTGGGACAGGGGCTGGACTACTTCTACGACCTCCTTTGAGTCATCAGCACACGGATTTTTCACCTGATATTTCTCATTTTTTGCATGAGAGAGTCTTAAATTGCTGTTTGCGTCCGGTTGGTCTGAAAGTGACATGAACTCTTCCATTGAGCCACTGAATGGATTTAATTTTTGATTGTGACAAAGAAAAGGTACTTTTAGTCTGTTTTCTGTGTCCTTACTGCAAATAAATCAATCATGTTTGTTTCGCGGGACAAATCAAGCAGTGTGTATTCAGACCAAATAATACAATAGCATTTCCTTCACTGGCCAATACATTTTGAAAATGTTGACAGGTGCTATATAAATCTTCACAATGAGACCTTGACTAATGAAATTGATTTGATACTCAAGTGCATTCATCTGAGTTTGGTGACAGATCAAATTAAACTCTGAGGTCAAGGTACCAATGTACAGTGGCGTGAAATTGATACAGGTAATCTTACTTGGCACTAGAGAGCAGAATTAAATTGTTGACAGCAAGCCAGGTGGACTGCATGTTCTGTCCAGTTATCAGGTGTCTGTCGGTGACAACGTGCACGGCATCCTCTTGGCTTGCTGCAAAACGAAGTTGAAAAGATGTTCCCAAATAAGTTTTGAAAAATCTGATCAAAACATCAGCTGTGATGAATCTGCACTCACCTGTGTATGAGCCACCGCTGTCCTTCACAAAGTCTTCCACGATTAAAGGCAGGTTGGCAAAGTCTGGGCTGCGCACCAGTTCAAACACTGATGGCTTCAGCAAAAACACACAAACGCATACAGCCAGAATTAGGTGCCAGGAGTTTCTAAATCAGTTAGCCATCGATGGAAATTCCAAGCATTATGTATATTGAACATACCCCTGTCAAACTATAGCCGTTGAAGATCCACCTGTTTCCTTCCGTGGCGCAACACAACGCTGATACTCCCTGTCCGACTGCACACACGGGCTCTGCACGCACACAAACTCTCATTAGCGTGCACACTTACAGGAAAATTTGACAAAGAGGCCTGTCTCACTGTTCTGAGAGATGAAATGTGAGAGAATACGGTGCAGTGAGCCGCTGTGTGCCAGGTCGTTGGGCGCTCCAGGGCAGTCGGGAATGAGTAGAGACTGATAGCGAGCACCTATTAGAAAATAAATCAAAGAAAAGGTCATAGTGACGCAGCCGGCAAATGAAACACAACAGTGACTGTGAATGATTCTCACCATCGATGGATTCAAGTTTGGCAGGAGTTGCATAAGGTTTCATGTTGAAGTCCTGCACCCATCTTGACGTGCTGTCATCCACCCCGACAAAATCTATTGGCTTCCCCTTGAAAACAACATCCAGGCTACTTTTTAAGTTGAACATCACACAGCATTAAAAAAAAAGCATGCTCACTTACTACTCTAATTGCTGTGTTTCAATTTAATCCGATTTAGGGCCTATATTTTTTTTCATACAAATACTTAATTCTGACTTAACTGTTGCCTTAACACAGGTTAGTGAAAGACAAATTCGGATTTTGCCAGAGCAACGGAACTCAATGTAGACAGAGGATCCCTGTACATTGACATTGGTGCTCGAAGTTTTTAAATGTGTTAGCAGAATTTGTGAAATGTTGGCATTTTGGGGGAAAATTTGACACGACTAAACGGACTAAAGCCATTACCTACCTTCAATTACTGAAACTGGATTTTTACATTTTCGTTTAACTTTGGCTCTTCAAACAGTATAAGGATCTCAAAAGCAGGATTCTTTCCCCCCTCTAAATACAGTATAATTTTTTTAAATGACATTGTAATTTAGTATATTTGAGTGCATTTTGAGCAGATTACATTATCCAGTAAAAAAAAAAAAAAAAAAAAAAAAAAAAGAGACTTACCGCCGGCGTGGCCGTCTGGAGGTTAAACACAGAAGAGCAAAGATTGAAGCACTGCTGGAATGACTTTGCTGACACCCCTAGCACGCACCGGTGAACATAACTCAAGTTACAATATCCATACATGAAATGCTATGAAAAAGACAGAGAAATGAAGATCAAGTAGCTTGTCAAACACACCTTGCGGAGAGGCGCTCAACACAATCAAACAAGTCGGCTTCGCAGACATTCTCTTAGTATGATTGTGATTTATTTTTGCTCACTTCACCTTAAAACGGTGACATACTACAGTAGCAATCAAATTTAGATTTGCCAATGACAAATAGGAAGCGCTGCGAGGAGGAAGAAGGGTCAGCTGACCACAACATCCGCCTACAAACCTTCACAAGAAAAGCAGGCGCACAGTCGCCAAGTAAAAAACTGCATTGTTTCGAACACTCGACAGAGGGCGCTATAACAGTGTACAGACTACGAACACAGCATGCAGTACAGTCAGTTGTAGATGGTTTAATTTTTTAATTATATTAAATTAATCCATGTTCCTTTTAATTTCGTTTGTAATTCATGTAATTATAGTTTATTAACCTATTATTTAATATTCATTTTACTGACATTTCAGTTATTTTTGTAATAAATCAAGTAAACTTGTGATAAATTAATTAAAGTATGACTACATTTAAAGTGTGAAACTTTAGGAAAAAATTACAAAGGTAGTTCAACAATTATGACACTGTAGGACTTGTTAATGGAATTGGTTTGTGGGTAAAGAATGGAATGGGCCACTAAATGCACACCTTTCCTTTAAAAAATATTTGTGTCTTATCAACCCTTTAATCACAGTGCATGCATTGGAAGACTTTCTCAGTAAATGCAATACATGGAACTATTACAATTGCTTTTATTGTTCATATTATGTATTTCTTGAACTAAACCTCGTGACACACCAAGAACAGCAGTGCAGTAAAGCATTTGTAAATATAACCACATCAAGCTTTCATTTTCAGCATTACCCTTGACATAAAAAGGAAGCCGTTTTGCAGAGTGAAGTGCTGCCCAGCAGCTCAAATTTAAGCTTGACATTTTAAGGCACTAAAGTCTCAAAGCACGCTCATCTGGTAAAGACACTAAAAAAAATGCCAACGTCAGTATGGCTCATCTTTCAGATTGTGATGAAGGCAGCAAGTAAACATCATCCCAAAAAGCTGAAATAAAAGATACGAAGCACATGTCAGTTCAGCACTTAACATGCATCCAGATGAAAATGGAGACATTTGTTACAATATTTACTTGAGGGACTTCACCTGTAAAACTGCAATCCCAATGCCCAGTGCACCGAGAATATATAGCTGACTGAGAATAAACTCCTCCAATTTCATGACACAGCCTCCCTGGCAGCACAGCAGAGGCAACAAATTTAGAATATTGTTAATACTGTAAGTCAATTGGTGTCAAGTGGACACACATTCTCACCTCTACCTTGTAGACATTAGAGGGATGGTCTCTGATGCCGCAGAGGATGCTGGGAGTTTTGCAACAGCTGTCGGGAACAAGCTGCTGGTACTGCGTGGCCTCGATCCAAATGCTGTCTCGCCAGTCTGAGGAGCTGTTACTGCCACAGCACTGGAACTGAGAGGGAAGAACACACATGCACAACGGTGAGGCAGATTTCAACAAGACAGCGTGTGAATACTGTGCATCCGCACTTCCTGATGGAGCTTGTCCACAGCCTGTGTGACACTGTCCTCTCCAGCTTGGTGGTATTTGTGCTGCATGGTCATCTTCAAGTTCTGCCTCAGCTCCTCATCCAGCTGTGAAGCACAAGCAGCGCAAACGCACTCGTGCACAAAGGAAAATTCCACTCTATCCTAAAGCCAACCCAATTCAAAATTGACAACATACTGTATGACTTCACCGTGTTCAGAATTCGTTTGAGTTGATTTAAACTTGAGCGACGATGTGCATTTCATATTAAACCGCAGCAGCTTAATTCCAAAAGTAACATTCATGCATGAAGCAGATGCACTGAACACAAGCGAAAATACTTTTCAAAAGGCCACTTCTCCAACCCATTTCTATATTGAAAATCATTTTGATTGTTTTTCATTTTATATTTGAAGTTCTCAAGATAAAAAATACAATCATGAAATAGTTCACTTTGTGTGTTGTGAATCTTTAATGGCTAAGTTTCTATTATTCAATTAAACAATTAATAATTTAAGTTTTGTATGATTTTCTAATTTATTGAGATACACCTGTAAAATAAATCAAGTGGCAGCAGATTACCTGGTGGCAGAAAGGGAAACACTGGAGCAAGAAAAGGAGGGGGGGGGAAAGAAGAAAAGAGTGAGAAGGCTCAAAGTGTACAGACAGCATTTATGGTAAACTGGCAACCTAACTCTTGTGTTAAAATGATGGGAACAAAAAGACAGAAAACACAGATGAGCAGAAGCAGGAATGTAATCAAGGAGCACGCATTAAGAAAAACGATTTCTTTTCAATTTGCAGTGGCATTTAAAAATATATGCTGGACTTGGATTGAAAGGGCAGGGGTAGCACTTGAATAAAAAGAAACCCCAAAGCAATCGATGAGGGTAAAAGCTTACCTCTTGGTAGGTAACATACGCCAAGACACCAGCGATGATTTCCAGCAGAAAAACACAGAGCAACAGCACCAAATACTGCAGGAGATATTCAAAATAAGAAACAATACAATTGGCAATCAGATTTGTAGGGCCGGGCTTGAAAATGTGTTTTCCGAATCCATTTTCCCCCCTTTGCTTTATAGAAAAAGCAAATGACAACGACATGAATCAAAACACATGTCAGTATTCAGTTACAGTTTCACAAAGGTCGCGACCACTTGCTTAGGACGTGTTGTCCAAAAGATATTCAAACATGTCATGATATCAAATCTTTTCAAGCTACACAGCAAGTTGTTCCTGTCATCGTAGTACTAATGTCGGTGGGTTTGTTGACTTCAAGTTCTCCATTTACACAACACGTATCCTCCGGCTGCGTCTGCATGTCTGCTACACGCGGACGCTTGTGATGCTCCTCATTCCTCTAACATTAGCTGAACTCTAAAAACATAAACTCTTGAGGACACGAGCCACGTGACCTGGCACGTCATGCTGCGGCTCCACTTAGGGTGGGCCCTCCGTCCCACTGAGCTGCAGGCAGAAACAAGGTCACCTAGGATTAACTTTCGATGCCTTCAGACCAGCGTGTGTATCAACAGAATCTTGAACAGGACTTTCCTAACTTAATAATGAGGACAATAAACATTTTTCCCCCCCTCACCACAATCAAAAGACTCTTCATCTCGCTCAAAGTGGCGCAGCATCCGATGATGCCGGTGACGATCACGACGGCTCCTGCGGCGATGAGGATGTAAGCGGATGCGGTGTAGAAGTTGGAGTTGAGCAGATTGATGTAGTCACTCTTCTCCACCAGAGTCCACACGCCCACAGCGAGTACGGCACCCCCTGCAAGCTGAGAGAACAAATGACTTGATTCATTTTATACACACTTAGAGAATTGTCATGATTTTTTCTTTGATGAAGCCGAAATAGATGCTCAGGATAGACACACACACACACACACACACATTTCAAATGAGCACACCCTCTGAATAAATTCTCCTCCATCTTTGATTGTCTTTCAAATATATAGCTTATTCAAGTATAACACTTAAACAAATAACACATTGCCTGATTATGATTATACCTGTACCTTCAAAGCATGCGCTTGGTGAAAGATTGAAAAGGAAACATATTGTTTTTCATCAAACTATTGAGATTAATTTTGTAACTTACCCAAAAAAGAATGTTAAATATAAAGAGAATGTACTTCAGACAAATTGTCCCGCAGCTGTTGGACGTTTCCCTTCGAGTTTCCATTCTGAAAAACAAAAACAAAACAACAAAAAAAAATGGTTGCTGTGCAGTGTGACGTGCATGATTTAAAGCTAAAACTGATAGGGGGCCCCAAACAAATGTACATCATAACATACTGGGGCTATAGTAGAGCTATTGTGATATACGGAACATACATTCAAGATCGAAACTATTCATTCCCCTGCCATATGAATAATTTTGGTCCTGACTGGAAAGTGTCTGATTTAATATGTATTGAAGCAAAGATTTATTATACTGAGTGGACCTAAAAGTCTTTGATTTTGTGTGAGAGCCACGGGTGTACCTGTTGAATCAGGCAAAAATCAATTTTGCGTCCTGTCAAATTGGACCAGACAGGGGTGACTGGTGTGTGTGTGTGTGTGTGTGTGTGTGTGTGTGTGTGTGTGTGTGTGTGTGTGTGTGTGTGTGTGTGAGCAATTTCCCAGTTCTCCTGGTGTGTATGCAACATTCCCCTTGAGTCAATGTAAAGAATGAAGCTTCCTAATCTTGGAAGGACGGCGCAGGAGCAGCTCACTGATGAAATCAAATACAGTATGTGGTGGGTAAGGATACTTCACAGCTTGTGTTGCATGACGTGCAACAGTAAAAAAAACGTCGTGCTTTGACACCAAAGCCAAAATTAACTACACTTGCTGAATAATTTTATATTTTAAAACACACACAAAAAAAATCACATAAGATGAAACTTAACACCTCAGAAGTGGTAAACTTAAAAACAAAACAGTGCTCTTCTTGCCATTAGAACAAGTGCACATGGATGAGTGGGGGTGAAGCAAAAAAAAAAAAAAAAGCCTCAGAGAGATTTATTTTTAACTACACTGTCATGGAAAAAGTGCTCCCGCGTTCAAGTGAGGCCAATCGCGTCCTACCTGATTGAAGATGTCAATTTCCGTGGCAACGCCTTCCAAGATCCCACTCAGCCCGCTGTGGATGTGCTTCTGGCTGTGGAAGTTGCCCGCTGCACGTTGAGTGTCTTACAGTCGGTAGTGTCCTATTGCAGTCACTTGCCCACCCAAACACTTCCTAGTGTTAAGTGCAGGGCTGCCCCCCACTGGCCACTGCCCCATTGAAGTGAGTGTGGAGCATGGAGGGAACCTTCAGCAAATACTGATCAACACCGTGCCAAGTGGGGTCAACACAACTATATTTAACAGAATCAAAGCATTGTAAAAGCATACAAACTTGACAGTAAACATGACTTTCAGTAAACGGAAGACGACACACTGTGTCTGTACTGCAAGAAGATTGACCTCTGAAAACTGAACAAATGGTAGACGCCGAACCTGGCAGCTCTAATCCTTTTCAAACATTCGCGTTTTTTCCAATTACGCACAGCAACTTCTTCGTGCGGCACACTCTGTGAGGGAAAGTGTGTCTTCACATTGTCGATCGAGCTGGGCAACTAACTTCCTGAAATAAAGAAAAAGTGACATGCACTCAATGGACACAGCATTAAATACACCGGCATAATGTAATGAGGTTCGACGAAAGAGCAAGTAAGTTTAGTGGTTGTGTACAACTCTATTGGCTACTCTACCACATGGAGAGATTACGCAGAATATTTTAACCAGCCGTTGAATAAAAATAAACTGATGAATAATACTACACTACTACAGACTACAACTCACATAATACATGTAGCAAAATTTAAACCACTCCAATGTCAGCAGAAATATTAACAGAAATTGGTGTCTTTTGATTGCATGTGGCCAGTCAGTGTGATGCAAGCAAACGCACTGAGATGAAACCAAGCGACATCAGTGGCAATTAAAATGAATCAAACGTCAATCTAAAAGCAAAGCCTCTCAAAAACTGAGTCCATACTCAGCCATATGAGTCATCAGCTCCTCCATGTTTGCTCCAGTTTTGGCACTGCACTCGTAAAATGAGGCCTGGTGCTGCTGTATGGATCAGAGTGAGAACACGCACACACACACACTTTTCAAAGCTTTCCTTAGTTGAAATTGGATGATGAATTGTGCCCCACCTCTGCCAACTTGTGTCCATCTCTCCTTTCCACTTTTCTGTGGTGACTATCGGCCAGGTCCAGCTTGTTTCCGAGCAGCATCAGCGTTGCGCCGTCGCACATCTTCTCCTATGACAAATGCCAGTTACGTTACGCAATCTGTATTGTTCCCCAACCTTTATTGAGCCAATGCACCATGTTATATAAAATATCGCAACACGCCACACCACTGTACAAAAATGCCACAAAAAGTATGACTACTGGAATAATGGCTCTCTCGTCACAATTTACTGACAAACTGAGTTACGCAATGTGAAACCTTCCTGTTTGATTGTATACAAAAGCCATGAAGCCATGACTTGCAAATTCTGTTGAATGAATGGCAACAGGTGGCTACACTGGTTTATTGGACATTTAGTCATCTAGTAAAAAAGTCTTGAATTAGTCTGTTACTTTTGGCTGCTGGCACAGTTGGAACAAAGATATATATTTTTTACTGATCCATAATTATACATAATAATTTTCAAAATCAAGAAAAAGTGGATATTCCACGGTTCAACGCGTGATAGCTATGTAACAACAAATTGCAAAACACACTACTGCTGATTTAGCATCCACCGGCTCACCTCCACAACGTCCATCCACTCTCTCACAGCGGTGAAGGAGGCCGAGCAGGTGATGTCATACACCACCAGGATGGCGTCAGCCTTGCGGTAGTACTGCTCAGTGATGCATCGAAACCTGCGCACACGTGGAGAAAGTCGGATACGGAGCAGCAGCGGGCTGAGGAGGCGGAGGACTAACCTCTCCTGACCGGCAGTGTCCCACAGCTGCAGGGTGATGGAGGTGGAGCCCAGGGTAATGGTCCTCATCTGGAAATCGACGCCTAGCGGCAAACAAGCTCATTAAACAAGCAGCGTTAAAGGTTATGAAAAGCTGCTATGATCTTACCGGCAGTAGCGCTCATGGGGCTGCAGAAATGTCCTGTGCAGTAGTGCTGGATGAGGGAGCTCTTACCCACCCCCGAATTACCCAGGAAGACCACTTTGAACACATGCTGAGGACTCACAAGTCTGCTCTAAAAAGTCAGATCAAATTAAATCAGCCTTTGCGCTTTTCTCATGGCGAAGGTGTTTGACTCTCTGCGGTGGTGCTTTCGCAATTTGTGAATGAAGCACGGCATAGCTTCCCTACCTGGCCAACTCTCTCACAACTGACTCTATCTGATGCCTTTGAATTGATCACTTTTTTCTCTGTGGCCCGTTCCTGCTCGTCACGCGAGCTTCAGCAGAGATCAGCAAGTACACACAATTAGTACTTCTGCCTCAATGGGTTGTGAAGACAATGTATGTACTTGCTCACACAAACCTTTTCACTACAGTGTCTCGGAGCAAGTAGTGCCCTAGGACTGACCCTCTCTTCCCCAAATTTTCTTCCATATTTGGCCTCTGAAAGGGGTTTAGCGGAAAGTCATTAGTAGAATTAGTTCGACACCATCCATAAACACCAACTTATAAGACAAGGAACTCGGTGCTCAGCAGACATTTATTCTGCTGTGCAAATAAGCGTGACAAACTGTCATTGGTGCACAACAAGCAGATGGCATTTCGATGAAGCGACCACTGGTATGCATAGCCTTTTGTCAAATATAGTGCAAGGAATGTAGCTTGGCATACATAATGCAGAATAAATGTCTTTTCAACACGAGGCATCAGTCCACTGCACATGCAAGATGCTGACTGAATTCAAAGAGTAACAAGCTGCCGAATGCCATGATGGCCAGGAGGTGGGAAGGATCCACGAAGCAGTTCCCACACTTAGCTTAGGGCGGATATTGCCGCTGTGTCCATGCGCTGTAAAAGTCTTGGCTGAAGTCAAAGGTTAGCGGCCGAGGCGGAAGTAGTGGACATGGATGACTAACCCTCTTCTTGGTCAGCTGGGCATCTTTCTCATCTTGCAGTCTTTTATTCATATCCCTGCAGAGAACAAGGATTTGCACGCTGCTCTTATTTGCAGTGGATATAATAAGTTCACACACCCCTGTTCAAAAGCCAGGTTTCCGCACTATAAAAAACTAGAACATAAATCGAGTAAAATAATATGATGTTGAGTTTCTACTTTTGTTGAGTGTGCAAACTTTCATTCGAACTGAGGATTTGGCTGTGTTCAGAAGTAAGTCAGAAGTCATGTAAGTCACTAAATGTCCATGCGTGAACCATGTACTGATGTGAACCCAGAAATGTACTGTGAATGGAAGTGGCATGTGCATACCGAACTGAAGTGGCATGTGCATACCCTAAGTTATGCACATGCCACTTCCATTCATAGTACATTTCTGGATTCACATCAGTACATGGTTCACGCATGGACATTTAGTCAAAATTGTGACCTAGCGAAAGCAAAAAAGGAACAGCTCCTGTGTCTCTTGTTATTTGACTGAAAAGGAGGAAAATTAAACCAAAGATACAATGTGCAACCACTGAACTTGAATAGGGCAAGGGAGGGAAAATTCACACACCGGTGCAAGAAATAAGAGGCATAGGAGAAGCATTATTCGCACTTTTGTTTGTTGCTTGGGTCACAGAAATTGAGCTGTGCGCAGTCAACCGCAGAGCGGTCCACGTCAACCCTTGCGCATACAGGCAGAGGATCATGTTTACATCACATATACCAGCACGCACTTTAAGGACATGCGGATGTTGAAAAAGCACGAATTGGACTTTAATGAGGAAACTACTTCAAATGAGCAATATTGAATATTAATATTGTCAGGCAACATTTGAAAGCCAAATCTTTACCCCGTTAGATTTAAATGTGCAAGGTATACCTTTTGTGCTGTCTAATTTTGTTCCCTCTTATTACTTTGCAATTGACTTACCTCAACAAGCCAAGTTGTCTCAGGAGACTATCCTTCTCTTTCTGCAGGTTTCTTGACACTTTGAGAACATTTCTGTGGTGAAACAAGAGACAATCAAATGCTTGCATAAAAGAATGCTTGATTCGTAAGGCTATTGTATCACTAGTATTTACTGTACACTGTTGAAAAAGTATTTAGCATCCTGTCACCTGTGTACGTAACCAGATTTTCTTAATTTCTTAACACGACCAACAAATAAATGCTCAGATTTTTGTCTCCAATTTGGGCAAAACATATATTTCCATCTTAATATGCCAAAACATATTTATTCAAAATACAATTTAGAACAAAGATGGCGTCATAAATCTAGTCAAAAACCAAAGTGAGTCTTACTGCTGTCTGGCCACTTGCTCCTGGGCAGCGCTTAGCTGTAGCTGGGCCAGCTGAACCATAGCAGCCTGCAGCTGCTCCCGGCTACTCTCCGCTTGCTCTTGCAGCTGAACGTTGAGGGTGTGCAGCTCTTGGTTCTGTTCCCTGATGGTTGCCTGCTCGCAGATCAGCTGCTGCATTCTGCTCTCCAGCTTGATACAAAAGACAAGTTCTGTTCACTCCCTCATTATGCTGGTGACAGCTTTATTCGAAGGAATGCGAGCAGGACCATTGGTACGCACCTCTTTCTGTCTGATCAAGGTTATCTCCAACTCTTGGTCACGCATCTTCAACTCCTCCTCAACCTGTATCCCTCGCTGCTTCTGTCTGATGCTCTCCTGTTTTGCATCAAACATTTATTCAATCAGTAAAAGTAATACAGGAAGAACAAGCATGTCACAATCCTGTTTTGTTGCCCTTCTTCCGTCACTTTTATTATTCCCTCATCCCCATGCTCTTTTGGTGTGAATAAATACTGTTTAGTTGTTTATGTTTGCTTTGGAATTGAGCTTTTTTTTTTTTAACACATTCCTAAAGAGCACACATTGATCTGTACCTGAGCCAGGCGTTTCTCTCGTTCCTCTCGGATTTGGGTTTCCATTTCCTCATATATAGACCGAACAATCTGATCATGTTCACTCTCCCGTCTGAAGTGCAACAAAGTTGAAGGAAATGTTAAAACTCAGCTCACAGATTATGGCCAGGAAGCAGAATGTGAGTGTATGTACTTGTGCAATACCTGCGCAAAGCTTGTTCAAGGCTGTCTCTCTCTCTGATGGAATCCTGCAAATGTGTGACGGCGTGTAGCAGGATGCCTTCCAGGAGCCTGAGCAGCTCTGGTCGGTCTCTCTGAAGCTCACACCACAGAGAACACAATTCCTGCTTACTGACACACAACAACAAAACAAAGTGGCACTTCACAATTGTGCTGTGACAATAGCAAAATAGTAACTGTGATACTATACTCATATAAATTATCTTTATACCACTCCTGAAACATTCAGGCGATCCCACCTGTCGGACATTTTGTCAGCACCGAGCTGATTCAGTATGTCGGTAAGTCTTATTGTAGCTGTATCCTCCGACCAGTCTACCTGGTCTGTGCCTTTGTCTGCAAGCTCTTGGCTCTGCTCAGGTGTGTCTTTCTGCCCCATCAGCTCACCTGCACCACAAAGACAGTTTGACAGACAGATTCCCCCATAACTGTGACGCTAAACTGCAGTATGCACACCAAGTCCTGTGCTGAACTCGAGTGGTGTAAGGAAGCCATTGCGCTCACGGTCCAGACTCTCAAACACGGTCTCCAGTTGTTCCGGTGACAGAGGCAACTCCATCTGTAGCCTCTGAGGAAAGGATATGAAGATTAAAGGTGGTGTGTTAACTTCCATTCTGCCAGGCTATCGGCTCACCTGCATGTCTCGCTTTGTGATGAAGCCTTTGCCCTCTTTGTCGCATAACACAAACAGCTGCTTGGCCTTCCCCATGGTCTCTGCCTGCAGGCTTGCTGCTGCCGCATTTCTAGGCATGGGTGAACCTAGTGGGCTGCGGCCCCTGCTCAGTCGGGGGCTCCCAGCTGATAGTCTCTGAGGTTGCGGGCTTACCGGTAGAGCCTCGCCGCTGCCCTCACCTTCCAGCACTTCCCCATCATTCAGCCACTTCGACATACTGTAGCTGTGCTGTAATGGACAAATAAGTAGAAAAATGCATATGTAAGCATCTAGAGTACTACCAGTTTGACCAATGTAGTGCCCGTAGGCACCAGGTTGCCACATTAGTTACTCTTCTAAAAATAGCTCACCAATGATGGAACATTAAGAATGTTATAGAAGAAAAAAAGAAAGTGTGAACATAAGCAGAGATTGTGGAAATAAAGTGTGCCATTTTTGTGTTTCCTAATTATTTTTAGAAATTATTAACATGATCAATGCCTTCACATAAATATTAATCACATATAAAGGTATCTTGAGTAAATATGTTATTTCAGAAGTGTGTATCAAACTGGTAGCCCTTTGCATTAATCAGTACCCAAGAAGTAGTTCTCGGTTTCAAAATGGTTGGTGAACTTTGATCCACATCAAATTTTCTACTCACTTTTTGTTACAAGGTTCTGGGACAGGTTGGCTCACAGGTCCTCCCTTGTCAAACAAGAACAACAAACTCTGCTGGGACCACACACATTATCTCCAGCTGGTCTGTCAAACTTGTCTTCACCTACATCTGCACAGGAAACATGACTCAATGTTTCAGTCAGAATAGTATTTTTAAACCAGGTTATATTCTAGCTTTGATGGGACTTCTTTAGAAACAGTGTGTCAAGAGTTAACTTATATCCCTGAAAAAACAGTTACTGTACTACAGATATGCTAATGCACACCGTCAGGCCATTTACAGGAATCTAAAAGGTAACTGTACCTTTGGCATGGTAAAAACAAACAAACAAAAAAACCCCACACACAAACAAAAAAAAAGAACACACAATAAACGAACCAAGCTCCAGGATGGATGTAAAGTACGCAACAGGATGGAGTCATGTGAGTTTATGTGTACTCGAAGAGGAGGGTGGATCGCCAGGAGCGACGAGATGCAAAACACTGTTTGTACGCATTTGCATGGTTACGAACTTACGACTACCACAATTGCAAGGCAAATACTTTACCAAAGTGATATATTACATATTTTAAATATGTCACATTACCTCCAATTCTTCCCATATGGGATTTATTGTAGTGATCACGGACACAGTTTAATTACTAAAGGAAGAACAGGCTGAACATGACAACAGAACAAGCCTCTTCAAATGTTGGCATATGCATAAAAATAAATATTTAGACAGCGACTACTGATAGCACTATTGGAGATGATCTATGAAGCCTTCACAACTTCCTCCTAACACAAGAGATAAGATGAATTCCATCGTGAAAACTATGTCAACATTACATGGGGGCTTTTAAAGCAGCCAACAGGCAGTGCAAAGCGCAATTACACTTCAAATCTTAGTAATGTGTTTAAATCGAGTTGTCTTCTCGCAAAAAGGGTCAGTGGAAATAAAACATGAAGAGTTTAAACCTTGCATGGATAGACTTAACGGTGATGACAATTACAGGTCTCACAAAAGAACTTTAATAGACTGTATGTTTTTGGGTGTTTAAATCTTCACGGTGATGACAATTACAGGTCTCACACAAAAGAATTTTAATAGACTGTATGTTTTTGGGTGTTTAAATCTTAAAGACAATCTTGTTATTTCAAGCGTCAAAACAAAACAGATGTCATTCTAATTGTCAGTATGATGTTAGCTGACCAAGCTAACCGAACCAAACCTCACATAAACAATACGCAGCACTTGAAATTATTTCTAAATAATAAGCAAAAACGCGCTTAATATGCCGTGGAAACAGGAATATTATTTAAAAATTGTAAGATACTGAAAGTGGAGTAAAGAATAACGTCGAAAGCAAGTTGGGGGGAAAACGTCAAATTATGACATACCTACACGGTGCGATACGCAGGTGTCCACTACCTTTGATCACTTCTCACAGCAAACTTGGCGAGTACTGCTCGTGGCCCATAGATGGCAGTAGGTACTATTGCCGCTCAAATTTTACCGTAAAGTCTAAATAGAGTGTGTAGCACAAATGTTTTGTCTATGTCACGTATCAATTCTAGTTTTTTTTAGGGTAATTCTAGTTAATGTCTTAATTGTTTTAAAACAGTATCACCAAAATTACGCGTTCTTAAATGTTATAAGCGAGCCAAAATGTATTTGAAAACTACTTGTGGAACACTTACATCGTCTATTACAGTGGAAGGTACCGTTACCATGGAAGATACGGAAATGCGTACGCTTCTGCTAAAAAGCATTTGGGGGCTTCAAGTGGGCATTCCCTCCAAAACAGTTTGGATCCCAAGGAGTTTGTTGTTGTTTTTAGTCATTTCGACTGTCACCTTTTGTGTTCTCATGGTTTCTGTCGGTAAGTAGGTGTTCTCTGATGCCTTACTGTCACGATAACAAAGGGAAAAACAACAACACAAGGGCTTAATTAAGGCAACGAGTCTGCACGGAATTCCTCGAAGTCAATCTGCCCATGCCAACGTAGCGATTAGTTGTGGCGATAAAACAGTGTTACTCATTTCCCACGAAGTATCTGTTGTGTGAGCTACTTTACGCGAATAGAAACGCGTCCAAATCTCATCTAGTCTCGGTGATGATATAACTTTAGAGCACGACGATATATCACTATTGCATCAGCTTGTAGCAGCTCAATCCACAGAACAGAATACAGGTCCAGTCTTTGGTTTCCTTTGGTACAACAATAACTATGTCACACAGACAATAACTATGTCACCATTCCTGTGTGCTTGCAGGTAATTCAGCATGAAGCGACCTCCAATGTCTGCAGTGATTTCCTGGATTGCTTACAATCATCAGAAAACATCGTATGCTTGAGGAAAGATGTTTCTGGATAGAGACAAGTATTTTTGGAAGTACTGTTTACAGCACTTCCTCACAATGTGAATAAACCCCAGCAGTGCTTCAGGAAAATCTGCATCAAGAATTAATGTAGTTACCGACATGTAAAGAACGTTTTTGGGAGATGCTACAGACGGGCAACTACTCCCTGGTGCTGCTGATCCAGCTCATACTTCTGGCTTTTGACCTTTTCGTCAACTCATTCAGTGAACTGCTGACAGGAGCTGCCGTCATCCAGCTGGTGCTTTTTATGTAAGTTACCTGTCATGCAGATGCAACCGGTCTTCAGTCTGCATATGTAAGCGCTGTTACACATCGAATTAGACAGACTACTTATGAAATCTCCCCATCTTGATGCCATGCAGGATGTGGCGATCTATAAAGGTGGATAATTTAGTGCTGATTCAAATTTAAGATGGTTCAGTTTGGATGAGTCTGTACTTATCTCTCACGATATTCTTATAGTCCTACTTTTCTTTCATAAAACTTTTAATCTATACACAACCACAACATAAGCAAATATGACTTAACAGTTGTTTGTGTCATGAAATGTTTTTACCCCTGCTTGCTCCTGACTTTTTAATGGACTCCATGGTACCAGTAATACAGTACTGTATTCGTGAAAAGTGTATTTTTGTCTTCAATTCACTACTTAATTATTAGGGACACAATATGATGATAAATCTATGGCTGAAAAAGGAAGAACTGGTAGGGGAAAAAACTTATGTTAAAGAGAATACATTTACAGTCCACTACATATTTTCTAATCAAGATATGCAGACTCCTGGATAGTATTTAATAACTATCATAATATACCGCTAGACCACAGCTACGTTAAATGGAGCTTAGATGTGACCGCATTCACTTGATATGATGACATCGTTATTAATTTATTCGCACTGTTTTGTCTTTGGGGATGTAGCGCAAAACCCCATGTATCTTTAATAGACAATCACAGCTACCACATTTACTCATTATTTGCATATACTGCAATGTGATTTTCTGGTGTTTATTTTAATTTCTTATGAACTAGTTTTTATGTTTTTGTTTTATGGACAAAACTACAAAGCTTATTCAAAGACCTGAAAAGGTTTTGTAGTTACTTTCATCTAATTTCCAAAACTGATTGCAGCATCCAGGACATCGCCATCTTGTTCAACGTGATCATCATCCTGCTGATGATGTTCAACACGTACGTGTTCCAGGTGGGCCTGGTCTCTCTCCTGCTGGAGCGCTTCAGAGCTCTGCTGTTTTTCTCCGCCCTCTACCTGACCTTCAGCATCTGCCTCCACAGCTGGCTGTTGGTGCGCACTTCGGCTCTGTAGTTTCTTCAAGCGTGCCGACTGTCTCTTGTGAAACCGCGCTTACTGAAATTGTCCTCTTTTTTTTGTGTAGAATTTAAGATGGAGAGCATCTCGTAGTTTTGTTTGGACGGATGGCCTTCAAGCTCTCTTTGTGTTCCAGAGGATAGGTAATTTGTTAAACTAGTACATTTTCCAACTCTTTTGGTGCATTCAGTGAATATCTCTCTCTCTCTTTTTCCAGTGGCTGTGTTCTATTACTACTTGTACAAGCGCACGGCAGAGTACATGGGGGACCCAAGGCTCTACATGGACTCTCTTTGGCTGCGTGAGGCCTTTGCCAGAGCTCGGCAGTAGACACAAAAGATGTGGAAGCACTGGATTTAATTTGCTATCAAGCAAGAAATACGTACGCTCTTCACTCAAGAAGAAAAAAGTGACCACAGCTCAACCGCCTCTGTCAAAACTTTTTAAAAAAAGGCACACCAGTGTTGGTTTACTATTCTCAAGCGGGCAGTTGGTTTCAAACTTTCCACTGACAGGTAAGCCAAGGGTGGCATATTGTACAAAGTATTAATCAGGATTGAGCCTGGTAATCTACTGTATGTGACCTTTGTACTGCACTCGAGTTGGAGTGCATCAAAATTCTGTCAAGATGCATTATCTATCTATTTTAGACTTCTCCACTGACTATCCATCACTTAACGCGCATGATCACTTGTCCCCGATGACAAAGGCTTGTGGTTCGTTCGGTTTGATGGAAGGCAAGTATGATTATGTTAACATGATGCCAGTAATAATATTGTGAAACCACTCATCTGTCAGTGTGGATCTTTTGAATTTTTTTTTTTTTTTTTTAATTATTAAATAATCCTTCTATAATCCTAGTGTAATCCATCAATGCGTATTATCCTGGAGACAAGGTGAAACAGACTGTTCTATTTTTAACGCAAAGATTAATCAGGATTTCGGTGCCACGAGTGCAACCAGCCATAAATAGTTGTCGGGAGTGTCACAAATATCCTCCTCACCGCAGATCGAATTGCTGTCGTGTATTTCTATGAATGAATGATAGCAGAATTTGTACAAAGTCCCCTTATATTTGAAAACAATCCAAATTGTTGTCAGTGCAGTCCAATCAAACTCAAAATCCATCTCCTGTGTTTCTAAGTGTTGTCATCCGTTACGTTGGAATGTGTGGTCATCTTCTATTTCGGCCACCTGAAATGACAGCAGGGCTGATTTAGTTGCGACCACAACAATCACTTCTTCACAAGGAAATAGCTTCCAAATGATCTTCTACCTTCATACGTAGATGCCAACCCAGAGTAGCAAGAATAGCACGCCAAAGCCCATGAAAAGTGAAGCCACTAGGGAGATGAGCAACTCCTTGTAGACGTCTCTGGTATATTTGGTTGAAGTCACCTCATAGCTGATATGCAATGTCAAGGCTGAACTCAAATTTAAAAAAAAAAAAAAAAAAATACCAGTCATCTTAACCATGGTTCATGCTACCCTTTTAAAAACGTTGGGGATTACCGTGGATATAGCGACGTCTGCTGGCAGGGATAGGCATTTCAGAATGCTGAGGTACAAATACAGTATTGTTCACAGTACAGTATTTGCAAGTGTTTTTCAGTGTACTGAAAAAAAAAAACACCGGTGACATCCCCCTAAATTCTAGACGATCATCAATGAAATTATGCACAATTGTATGATTCTAACTTTGAGGGTACATTTTGGGGTATGGTCACCACCACTGTGCCCTGGTGCACAAACCAAGGTCCATAAAGACAGTACTTGTGTCCATATAGTTTGTCTAACGTTCAGCTGTCAGATAATCATTTACCTGGGTGTGTATTTTTGACTGACGGATTATTAGACATTAACATTTGATGGATTTAAGTGATCTAATGCCAGAAATACACACATGTAGATGTTTTTTTAATCAGAGCACACAATCTGTTTTACGCATACTTGAATCGGCGTGGGAATGAACTATAGCGCGAAAAACGGATGTAATGTGTCCCCTATCCGTTTAAATAATATGGAACAATACATTACAGGAACCCTTGGTTTATGAAGGAGTTCCGTGCTTATGGTTGTTCACGTAACCCAAAACTTGCACATAAACATGGGAGTCTATCACTAACCTATGATATTACAGTATGAAGTCCTAACTACAGTATATATTTCTATGAAAAACACTTATAGGCCACAATTATAAAAGAAATGAAAAAAACGACGCTTTGCAAATTTCAGGGTGTCTTCTATGTACAACAGAGCAGGGGCCTCAAACTCAACTTATGTGGGGGGCCGCTGCATATAAAAGAGTCTGTGTGTCTCTGCGCCACAAACAAAGTAGTCGAAAGGATACACGAAGAACCAGGCGGTGAAGAACATGCCGATGGCCAGCAGGACCACAGTGAGGTGGGGGAACACAGCCGGGTTCACCGGGCTGGTGTATCTGGTCATCGCCTCGAGTTCCTGTAGTGAAACATCATCATCATATGATAAATATATGGGTTGCATTTTAAACAATTTAAGCACAATCTTTTGGTTTCAGCAATTTTTTGTTTAATAATCGAACGGAAGTTTGGCACGAGAGGCTACTGTTTCTTTGCTAGCCTGCAATTCGTTGCCGAACAAACGACACATCATAGTCACTATGCTTTGGTGACATAATGCACAATTACATTCAGTAAGTAAAGCTACATTCAAAACAATTTAAATTCGAAACCATACCATTTCAAATGAAGCAAGGCTCCTGCCTCTGTGGTCCAAGTTGATAAGGCCACGTACTGCCTCTCTTCCGAATCTTTTCCGGGTTGAGTAGGTGACGTATATGAAATATGTCCTCAGTTTGGTCTTTCAGGCTTCACAGAACCCGAGTCCTGTAATAATCTCGGTTTTATATGTTAAAAAAAACTTTAAATTTTAACTAAAAAGGTAAAGATGGTAATAAGATGTAAAAAAAAAAAAAAAAAAAAAAAAGAATAAATGAATACAAGTCTCGCGGCGCAATGGGTCGACCGGTTAGTTCAATTCCGGCTGTGTGGAGTTTGCGTGTTCTCCCCGTGTCTGCGTGCCTAAGAGATTCCAAAAAAAATGCATGGCAAGTTAATGAAACACTCGAAATTGTCAATTGGTGTGACTGTGAGCGCGAATAGTTTTGCCCTTTGATTGGTGTACCCCGCCTACTGTCCGAAAACCGCTGGGATTGTGAGAATAAAAACAGATTAGAAAATGGATGGATGGATGGATGGAATACTGTACTGTACGAGTCTGTGACGCAATCGAGTGCGCTCTCGGGACCTTTTAGATGTCGATCAGGGTAAAGTGAATGAAAAAATGGCAGACTGAAATTCCTTTGCTGTCATCTAGTGGTACAAAGAAAGAGGAGCAGTCTTCTGTCGCCACAAATCATATATTTATTTGCGTTTACAGTATTACAGCATATTCTTGAGATAAACACCTCAAGAAAAGCGATGACAATTGGGCTCAATGTTATGTTAGCGTATTCAAGTTAGTGTTATGGTATATTGACTTCACATGTGGAAATGGACATTAATTTTTCATCATCATTCCAGTTAAGAAAATAGCTAAAAGTTGAACTACTATAAAGACTGCAACAAAAGCATGGATTTAAAAAACTATATGATAGCATAAAAATGAGCATCAGTGTTTAAACACAATGCTTTCACACAGTTACATGCAATGTATTTCTACTGGAGTATCTAAAACAGATGGACAAAGTGAGAGCAGTTCATTATTTATATACAGTGTATAATACACAGTGTGAAAAGTGCGACAGTGGTTTCTTTTATGCTATTGCTGGTCCATTATAAATAAGCAAGAGTACTACACAATACATAAGTAACGGAAGAGTTGCTCTGAGTATTCATGTTATGGTAAAAAACATTTGTTTTCTCTGATGGCTGTTTTTCCTGTAAGATATTGAATTGGTCAAAAAGCTGTGTGGACAATGAATTTGAAAAACAAGAGCACAACATTTGAGAACAAGACAATAGTATTTCAAAATCAGAAAACATATCACACATATTAAAATTGCTACAAGACGGTGCAGATTATTAATGTGAGGAAAATGTTTCAAACTGTGATGTTACTGTATATTCAATTCTGGAGTGTGAAACACAACTCCCTTGCAGTTTTAGAATCACTGCTGAAAACGAGGCAATTGATATTTTTGAGGGAACGATTGGAAAAGCAACTTTGTTGCGCTTTACCAGCATAAGCAAAATTCAGTGTGAGCTATTCCAGTGTTTTCTTGTGAAATATTGTCAGTGTTGGACATATTATATTATAATCCTCTCTGGCGTTTCCAGTTACTAGCCATTTATTCATCCAGTCTTATCATTTGTAATTTTGAGGAAATGACCATGATTAGGTCCATTCAACACAACACACAAGAGTAACCATATTTTTTGCAGCAATGCATACATAAGATAAGCGGTTTTATGTAGGATTCCGATCTTTTCAATATTCCATTAAGAGTAACGTTTCTTCTTCTGAATGTGCAGTATTTTCACAAATTGTGCCAAAAGAGGCGAAGGAAGTAGCAGTGTGGACTATTTGAGGTAAAATGCCGTCTGCAGCCAGACATAGCTGAACCATTAAACTCCCCGGTGTATGAAGGAAAGTATTCATGTTTTGAGGTGACGGTAGTTTCAGTGTACATAAAATCAACAGTACAATGTCATCCAGAGTAGTCTGGTGCACAGTACGATGTGTTTGTGATGGGTAATTGCATTTCACAAGCATCATTTGACTGTGGCCATGAACTGTGATGCAACACAGTTGTCAGTTGATCGCAAACATTTCGAGACACAAACAACAGCTGATGACAGCACAAAGAGATGTCGATACAAGCCAGACAACATCAAGTGCAGTGATATATAATTTTGCGTAACTTCCTTTGAAAATAATGTACAATAATAAGACAAAATACACATTAAAATACACATCAACCCCACGGGTGGATGTGGCTCGCTATAAGGCACGAAGGAGGTGGGCAGACGTCTTTCCCACAACTCACACGCAACTGTTTTCAATGACAAAGTGGTAATCAGAAAAGGAGGACCTTTCTCTCTCAGTGGCACAACTCATTCCATCCTGTGGAAAAAAAAAATACAGAAATGACAAAAAGGGCATTTAATTTACTCTTAAATGCCACTTAATCAGAATCATAATAACAACAACAACAATAAAAAATAATAGAAATAATAATAATAAATAATTATAATAATACAGTGATCCCTCGCTTATCGCCGTTAATGGATACCAGAACCCCCCGCGAAAGAGGAAAATTCGCGAAGTAGGTACCCCCCCGTAGAGGTATATGTACATGTATATGAGTATATATATAATATTTATAAGGCCAAATTTAATGGTATAATACAGTAAACATAAACATGTAGTACTGTATATGTTGCTCTATGTGACTCGCTGTTGTTTTGCTGACTTTTGCTGCTCCTCGCGGACCTTTTGCGGCATTTTCGCAATTTTATTTATTCATTTATTTTTATGAATATCTTTGAAAAATCCATGATGCACTGAAATCGCGATAAGTGAACTGCCAAGTAGCGAGGGATCACTCTAATAATAAAGCATACTCACAGACGAGGAGACGCGAAAGTGATAAGCGATGTCCTGGAAGGACAGTAGAGGCAGTGACCACAAGTGATGGGTGCCCTTGAAGAGGAACGTTAACAATCAACCAACCAACCAGAAGGAAAATTGACTTGAACTAATGTGCGTTTTGAATTCATGATCAAAAGCAACATGTTTTACCCATGTGGATGTTCTTTGTCCACTGTACAGCTCGGTCTCAGTGT